GGATGATACTCCAACTCGCGGAGTAAGCCCCTCGGCGACGGTCGGAGCTGAGAACGATCGCCGCGGCTGTTCTCGAAGCAGGGGGCCCCGACTAGCTCCATCTGTGTCAGATCCTAGCATCTGGCGCGCGATGTGGTGCGCCATGTTGTTGCAGGATTCTGCGCCGAAGGACTAGTTGCCCCCGAGCGCCGGCGCCGGCGATTCTCCAATGGTGGGGGTTAGCGCCGCTCTGACCGCAGCTATTGCAGGACAGCAGACAAGGGATTGTGTTTCCGAAACTGAGCGGTTGTTGCAGGAAAGTAAGGAGTGGTCACGCGCGCGATGGTTAGATCCAACGGCTGTCAGGGCACTGATCCAACGGCGCTCCATGAGGCAGATATTTCTAATACATCCGCGGCCGACGCGTAGTTTCGCCCATTAGCTATTGAGCCAAGCCCAAATATTTCAACAATTATTTGATGAACATCAGCAACCAAATGGAAGGAAAGCAACGATCTACATACACATCTCGCAAAAAAAAACGATCTGCATACACATATCCATGGGAGGGACTCTCGATCGAACAACCAACATGACCGTGGCATAGACTTGCGCCGCCCTGCCTCCCACGCTCTGAGCATGGCCGTCTACGTACACTCCTCCCAGTCCCTCCAAGTTGGAGATACACCCAGCGTAGCTAGGAACCAGCACACATCCAACAAAGTCAGCCGTGGAAAACCAAAGACATACTCCTAGATAATAATTGCACTTGTGAAAGAGCGTGGAAATTGTCAAATCCACGACATAGAACAGATTCCTAGCTAACGATTGGTTTTCAGCATCTCCACTTCAGTACCAACTACAGAAACAAAGAAAACATCGACTCTACCCGGGGTCAAATTACATGCAGCTCCAGTTCGACTGCCTTAGTTTCCGAAAATTTGGCGCAAGAAATGAGCCCCTACTACGGTCCAGAGTTGAGACAACAAATAGGCCATACAAAAAGTAGCCTATCCATCTATCAACTAAGTAGCTCGATCTTCTTTTGATTTGTTTCTCTTTGTAATAGGCTTCCATGTGTTGACATACTCGAGGAATGACGTAGAGGGGCTGTCCTTTGGATGAGCATGTACACGAGAAGAACGCCGCAATACAGCCTCTTCAACTAACAACTGATGTGTCACCTCCTTCAATCTCTTCTCCACAGCAATACTATATTGACAAACAAAAGAAAAAGCTACTTATTAGTTTTGCTTCTAATATAAGTGCACAGATTTCACAATATTTCCTTCTGCAAACCTAAAGCCAGCTCTTGTCCTCAAAAATACGGTACTAGGGCAACACAAAAGAATACTTATTCATATAGACAGAAAACATGTGCAAATGAAATAAACAAACAATGAGTAGCGGTCTGGAAAACAGTTTTGCATGGACAGAAAAACCATTTCATTTTCAGTGAAGAACACTGGGCATTAATTTTTCTTTTTCAGGTTTCCAGGGTTTGGCATTGGAAACTTTGGATACTTTCTACTCCCACCATCCGAAATTAGTGCTAGATACTCCCTCCGTTCAGAATTACTTGTCTCGAAAATGGATGTATCTAGAACTAAAATACATCTAAATACATCCATTTTTGCGACAAGTAATTCCAAACGGAGGGAGTACATCCATTTGAGCGACAGCTAATTCCGGTAAGTATGTAATAAGACATCTATTTCACCAAAGGGGCCAAAGGGCATCATTTAGGGCCTGAACCAGCCTTTCACCAAAAATAAGTCAGCATGGCCTGACCAGTTTTCAGCGATTTCACAAAATCTGGTGCCAAATTCTTCCAGATCCAGAATACGAAATTAGTCAGTTTATAACACCCCCTTCTACAATACAGCCAAATATCATCGCAGAGGAATAAAATTGCCCTAAACAATAAAGGCACGATCATTCACATTGGTCTAAATAGACCAATCTAATGATATGAAGTGCAATGTTCATTAAAGCAAGGTTGAAAGAGGACAAGATCATAAAATGCACAGAACAGAAACTAGGATAAATTTAAGATATAACGCTTTGGATATAAAATGTGATGATCTGCACTTCCTAGTGTCAACTACTTCCTCCGTCCGGAAATAACTGTCGCTCAAACAGATGTATCTAGCACTGAAATACGTCTTAGATACATCCGTTTGAGCGACAATTATTTCCAGACGGAGGGAGTATATCTCTATTCCAAGAATCAAACAGATGTATCTAGCACTGAAATACGTCTTAGATACATCCATTTAAGCAACAATTATTTCCAGACGGAGGGAGTATATCTCTATTCCAAGAATCAACAGAACGGCAATCACACAAGATTACCACACCACAAAAACAGTCCAATAGTACGAAATAAATTAAAGAATATAATAATAGAAGATTTCCAGTTCCATACCTTATCTTGTTGTAGAACTTGTCAAGCTGTTGTTTGAGTGCTCTCTCCCTTATGCCTTTAATGTTTAAAGACCCAATGAGCGCATCAAGCTGTTAATTGCAGAGTTAACATAGAATTGTTGTAGATATAAAAGTAAGGAAAGAAATTTATACAGTAGAAAACAATCACCTCTTCCTTGGTGCTATAGTACCCCCACTCTTTGGAATCTGCACTTTCAACAAAAAGTCTTCCTTCACGCTTAAAAAACCAATACCTGTTATAGAATCTGTCTTTTCCAAGAGGACTAGTTCGTACTGATTGGTCCAGTAGTTCTTTCTCAAGATGCCTCCCCTATAAGCAGAGAGAAGCACTTTCATGAACAGTTTCGGCAGAGACATGCACGTACATGTGTAAAATTAACACGTGTGCATAAAAGGTTACATGAATTAAACTTATAAGATGTACTGATATAGGTTCTCACCAGATGCAATTTCGCATCTCCCATTTTGCTGGCGGGAGTGTTCTTCCTCTCCTTCCCTTCTTTTGCCACAAGCTGGCCATTAACATTCTCGTTGCCGTCCTGTACAGCATTTGTCTGATTCATTTCCTTTTCTGTTGCCACTTCCATGATCAGCTTCTGCTCTTCCTTATTCTTTCTAGCAATCTCTCTTTTTTCTGCTGCAAGTGCTTGTTGCTGATCAATGCGTTCATCTAATTTCTCTTTTACAGCAATAGTTGCAATGGCTTCATCTACCAATTCCCGTAGGATTTCAAGTTTCAGGCTAGTGGGAACAAGACCATAGTGACCCCTTCGTACTGTTGATATGTTACTGGAGATACTTGTCATTTCCATGAAATCACATAGATACTCCTTCCATGTGACTAAAGATACCTACATACGATATGATTAATGTTTCAGAGAACAGAATATGGTACAACTGTACAAGTTTGCTCAGACTTAAATTTTGAATAATAATAAGAAGAAATCACCTTTGATTTTCTGTTCTTGTCCTGGATAAACTCAAAATATTCACCTTCATCATTAATAAGCAAATTGAGAAGTGCAGTATGTATTTCCACAAGAAGAACAAGATTGGTTTCTTTGTGGCAAATTGCATTCTCCAGATCTGATAGGGAAAACGGCGACAAGCATAAAAGCCTCCCAAAAGACATGCAGAAATCCCAGACCATCAGGAGATCTCCCACAGAACTTATAGGGACTTTGAAATCTGTGGATGGTGGGCATCTCTTCGACAAAACAGGGTCATCTGCCACCGGCTTTACTAAAAGATCATCGATTGGGTATTTAACTGGTACTACTTGTTCCTCTTCATCTGAAAGTCACATGGAAAGTGAACAATAAGAAGCCAGTCAGACCTGTAGTAAAATGAAACCCATGGTAAAATATTAAGTGAAAGAGATGACATGAATATCTGCTTAATTCACCTTTCTTTGACCTTTTGCTGGCATCTTCTGCAGTCCCATTCGCTAGTCTTTTCCTTGCTTTGGACAATCCTTCACCATTCTGTAAGCCATGATGTATTAGGATCATAATAATAATGGAGAATAAAGGAAACAAGAAAAGATGGTTACAATCATGTCTTTTGGAGGCTCGGTGGGTATGCCATATTTCTTCGCAAGATTCATATGTACGATCCATGGAGAGTTTTGTGATGTTGATTCCCTGATAAAAATCTTGAGCATATTACGACCACAAGGCGCTTTCTTGCGAATCAGATCGTCCGCTCTGAGAACTGAAGTGCTGGTAATTGCATTGTCTTGACCAATCCAGCCCACCTCATAGCTTGTGGTTTCACCTGAACCTATAACCTTCAGAATCTTGCAAGCAGCCTCCAAACCATCTCTTTTAGCATGTAATTCTAATCCTTCAAACAGATTCTCTTGCAGACTGCCATATATCTTGTTGACAAGGTCAGTTAAGCTAAGTGTACCTGAAGCAAATGCAGTGAAAAATCAGGCCAATTAAAAATATAACACAAATATTCTACCTAAAAATATTCCGCGTTCTTCACTAAATAGAATATCATGTAGCATATAAAAATATCATAGACATAAACGATAGATGTAGGGAAAGGCTGCGTACAATAGACCCAAAGTGGTCGGACCCTTCCCCAGACCCTGCGCAAGCGGGAGCTACATGCACTGGGGCTGCCCTTTTTTTTTATAGACATAAACGATAGTTTGCGATAGCATGAAAAAAGGACTCGCTGCAGGTTATTAACAGTATACAGATGAAACAGCTAACTAAATGTGCAATGAACCTACATGCCAGACTGTCAGTCACATGGATAGATTGCCAGCCCTGAATTGGAAATTTATTACAGTGTACACATAAAATGGGAAATCGAATGTGATGAATCATTGGAGAACATATCATCAATTTTATCCAGAAAGGATGTTTGAACAATCCAAAAGAAAACTGATGCAAACAAGTGGGACTTGTCAGTGAATATAAACAGAAAATCTCAAACACGCGAAACTCCTTACCAGCATAAAATTCTAAACATGCAATGATGCCACAGATAATCAATGTCAAACTACCAGCATTAGCTCAATGGCCTTTAAAAAACATTAGCTCAATGTAACTTAGTCTAGATATACACATAGCAAAATACTATATCGTTTCCTTTTCAGAGGCCAACAATGTGCATCATAAAGAAATAAGAATTATAATTAGACTGAAACATTATAATCATGACAAGTGCCGATAATGTTATAATCAGGAAAAACTTGGCCCTACTGTATTGAATCATCTGGAGAACAGGAGACATAAGCTCTCTTGGCAACTGTTGAGCCTTCTCTGCAGCGCGCTGCTCTGAGACCAAAGCTTCCTCATAGGTTAAATTGGATTTTCCAGACACCTTACATGTCCAAACTCTTTTACGGTAAAGGTTCAACCTATTCAGGTATTCCCTAATTAATAGTCAAGGATGCACGCTGTTGCTGCAACATAGTCTATTGCAATCATAAAAGCTGCAAAATATCATATTTTGTTTGGAAATTATGATTTATATCAGGCACAGATCAATTGCTTACGAACAGTTATATCATCTGTAAGAGGATACTGGTAATCTCGAAATATCTCCTTAGTAAATCGAACTTGGAACACCTTCTCCTTGGGATCCAAGTCCTTTGGCGGGTCCAGTAAGAAGAAAGGTGTCCTCTTGAAGAGAGGCATTTGGTCCTTGTAATGCAACCTCTACAAAAGGAACAACTCGTTCAACACCTGCAAAATTTGACAACAGTTACTGCATTCTCCTTCAGGAGAAGCTCTAAGCCATCAAGAGCCATGCACCGCATATATGAAGCACAAGACAAGGAGCAGGTAATGGACACTAGTGTTAATTGATATTAGCATGAGTTCATGGGTACAGTAACTTTTGTAAAAAGAAAATGCATGAAAGTCATGGAACAACAAATGGAAGAATAACATCACTTCAACTCCAGCCTGTATCTTTTACACTAATCACACAATGTCGTCTGTTCTTTTACATAAAGATTCAGCATACATTATGTACAAGCTAATCTCCTATGTAAAGATTAAAAATACAATATGTACAAGCTAATCTTCACTAGAAAAATACAGTAATGAGCTCATATCTGCTCAATGCAGCCGTACACGATGTCCTTGTGTTAACCTTTGTGTACAAAGATTCAAATACATTCTGTACAGTACACGATAATCCTCACTAGAAAATACAGTAACAAGCTCATGTTCGTTTACTGCAGCCGTAGATCTATATAACATCACCCAAGTGCGACACTTGAAATCCAACAACCAAGAAGTTCTACCATTTTTTATATCATCAACAAAATGCACTTCAGATTTACGGCATGAAAATGCGTCATGCCGCTTTCAACAAATGGCATGAAAATGCCACTCCGATTCCTAGAATCCAAGAACCAAGAAACACCATGAACAAAATCAACACCAATCACTCACCAACAGACCAGCCAATTAATGGGGCGACCAAGCCTCCCAACCCCGACCGCCTAGCGAAACCACGATTCCGTACCCACCAAAACTCGCTCTTACCCCCCACACCATCACAGGATACCCCGAAGGGCCGCCCCCAAACCCTAGCCCGTCAAAGACCGGGCATGCCACATCCCACCGGCCGCCACCTGGAAATCATCCTCGCGCAAACAGAACCCACTAACCCATAAAAAACACGGAGAGATCAGCCCGAACCGACGGTCCTGCGTCGGCCGGCGTCATAAAACGATGAGGGCAAGCATTCCGGGGCCTCACCAGGGAGTCCGCCGATACGACACGGCCGGCGGCGAGGCTGGGGGTCCTCGGGGATCTGCGAGGCGACGGCGGGGCTACCGTGGGCCGGGGCCGCGGGGGAGGCGGAGGCCGGAACCCCAACCGCCGCTTTGGCGGCGCGGGGGATTTTTGGCGCTCGCGTTTTCGAGCTGAGAAGCCGAATGAGGAAGGGGGGAACGGAAGAGCGCCACCGCGGCTTCCACTCTCTCGGCGAAATTTCTAGGTTTTTTTCCTTTGAAGCGAATTTATAGCAGTTTGATGTGGCCAAAGAAACGGCGGTTTCTCGGTGATTCTGTTTGGACATTTCCAGCGGGGTACCTCAGCTCTTTTGTTTTATTACTGGGACTAGCTGAAGCTTTCCTATGACATGACAAAATTTTGAAAAGCAGAAGTTCGATGAATTTTACACAAAACGTTTTCATATAGAAAACAGATAGATGAAGTAGTTTTGTCTGCTGCAGATGCGATGTCGTTGACGACAATGTTGGCGAAGACTAGTCGAAACAGACGGCGACAGAGACAGCGGGATGCAGCTTTGCCTGACTTGAAAGGAAGATGACTCGTGGTGACGAACCTGAGCAGTCACGTGTACGCTTCTTGAAAACCTAAATCACACTTTCTCGATGAAGGACTAGAAGGTGCTAGGTTTCGGAGACCTGGTGTCCTGCTCGCCGGTGCACACCGACGTTCAAGATGAGGTAGACTACAATGACGGCGCAAGGAGAAACCCTAACCCGATTTGGTGTATCTTTGGTGCTGGTTGATAGGTCGTGAAAATAGGAGAAACGAACAGTCTCATGTTCTGGTCATGATCTAAATTGACTATGTTTCTAAGTTGTAAACTTTCAGGTCAAGGATTCAAGAAATAAAATGACTAAAGGAATATGCGCTCCTGCAAGGCCGCGGACCAGATTTCGGCGAATCATTCAGCGCATGTTGATGGTGTTATGACCCAAGGGTGCCTCGCCATACCTAGAGTCTAAGTAGGTCGGCCTGGGGCCCCCTAGGTCGGTTTATGCCCTGGGTTGTCATCTCGGCCTATGGGCCCGATGGAGAGGACTTAGAAGACTTGGAACATATGACAAGGAAGATGACGTCCAGGATGACTCCTCCATAACCCTAACCTACTATGATCATGTAAACCCTAGACTCGTGTATCCATGTAAGCCGGGGTTAGGCTAGTCAATAACAACGAGAACCATAGATTACTCTCAATCACTCATCACCAACATACACCCCTATGCTCTATCAATAAATGTCGGTGCTAAAACCGGCGAATTTCGGGTGGGGGGTCCCGAGCTGTAGGTCTAGGAACAATGGTAACATGGGACGAAGGGAGATGGTGTTTACCCAGGTTCGAGCCCTCTCGAAGAGGTAAAACCCTATGTCCGCTTTGATTATATTGATGTGATGGAGTATAGAGTACAAGATGATCTACCTCGAGATTGTATGATTGTGTTCTAAACCCTAAGGCTGGTAATTGTGCCTCTAAAGACTAAACCCCATGGCTTATATATACACCGGGGTACGTAGGTTACACATATGGTCGGTTGCCAATATGTTGGCTATTGAGCTATCCTTGAAGTACACGCCAAGTCTTCAGAGGTGTTCGTCTTGATTACGCTGAGGTGCACAGCTTTCGGAGTCCTTCCTTGTAATGACTGGTGGGTCGTAATGCTCGGCCCACAGAATGTGGGTCATATAGGTTAGTACCCCTTAGTCAAGGACATCGTCGGTAGCCCCTGAACTAGTCTTTGAAGCCGAGGACGGCAATTCCATCCTCACACCATTACCTTTGGCCTGAAATTTTCGGCTTGACGTCTTCGGCCTGGCAAATGAGTTCCTTATTTATCGACTCACGTTCGGCTTCAAGATCTTCAAACATCCCCTCTCCCTCAACAGGGGCCCGAGCATCAATATACATCAAACCAGGTGGCCTTCTCTTTGTGTAATCCGATGACTTGCATCAGGGATTCGTCGTGGGTCCACCACTTGTGGCCCTTGTGCTGTAGGGCGGAACCCTAATGGATGATATTTTCACACTTGAAGGGGGGGAGGGAAGAACAACAAGAGAAATTACTCAAACAAAACCGAATTACACATCCACTAGAATTGCATAGTTGAGATCCACAAGCATACAAGATCGATCAAAGGAAAACAAGCACAAAGGTAAGTTCTTCTCAAATCCAGAGAGATGAGGTCTTGGAGATGAGGTCTTGATGATCTGGAGAGATCCTTCTCCCTAAGGAGGTCTTGATGATCCTATGAAGGGGAATCCTTCTCACTTAGGAGGTCTTGATGATCCTATGATGGGGATCCTTCTCATTTAGGAGGTCCTGATGATCATATGATGGGGATCCTTCTCACTTAGGAGGTCTTAATTCCCCAAGGTGGAGGTACAAGGAGCAAAGCTCTCTTTTAATGTCTCATAATACTTTGCTAACCCAAACAAATGTCCTGGACATGGAATATATAGGTGGCTTGAGGTGGGGGGACGAGTTGGAGGGCAAAACAAGACATCCACGACCAACTTCCTACGAGGGTCGTGCGCACGGGCTAAGTAGGACCCGTGCGCACGATGGTCTCGTGGGCATGATACATGCCTGTGCACATGAGGTAGCTACAGCGGCAAGGCCCGTGCGCACGGGGTGTGCATCTTCACTTCCATTAGAGGTGCTGCCATCTTCAGTTTAGTGGCTTCCTTCTTCCTCGTGGCCTTGGCGTCCTTCTCCTAGGCTTTGGTGATGTTCCTTAGCTCCTTCGCGGACGTCATCCTCATACCTAATGACACATAATGTTCCTTGGTGAGGTAGCATCCAAGTTCCATCCATATCCATGTTAAACTCATAGAGGAGTGAGTTCACCTCGTTTTTTGATGGCATGTCCGCGAGCTCTTGTCATAAGTCCACGTGGTGCTTTATGAGTCGGTGTGGTGTCCATGGGGATGACCGAAGGATGCTCCACATCATCTCCCCCCTCCTCGGGAAAGATGATTGCGACAAATTAAAAATAAAACAAAGAAAAGACCACTATAATACACGACACTCCAAGCAAAACTCATATCATGTGATGAATAAAATTATAGCTCCGAGTAATTTACCGATGGGTGGTAGACGAAAGAGGGGATGCCTTCTGGGGCATCCCCAAGCTTAGACGATTGGGTCTACTTTAATATTACCTTGGGGTGCCTTGGGCATCCCCAAGCTTAGGGTCCTGCCATTCATTATTCCTTCATCCATCGTGATCTCACTTAAAACTTGAAAACTTCAGCACATAAAACCCAACAGAAACCTCGTGAGATCCGTTAGTGTAACAACCAAATCACAAACTTTAGGTACTGTTATTAACCCATTCATATTTTATTATTGCATAATACCTACTGTATTCCAACTTCTACATGACTTATACCCCTCGATACAATCCATAGATTCAGCAAAAAAGCAAACCATGCAACGAAAACAGAATCTGACTAAAATAGAACAGTCCGTAGTAATCTGAATAATAACTATACTTCTGGAATTCCAAAAATTCTAAAAAATTAGGATAACGTGGGCAATTTGTATATAAATCATGTGTAGAAAAATCAGATCAAAAGCACGCTCCAGTAATTTTTAGATTTTTCTGGACCGAGCGCAAAAGTTTCTGTTTTTTCATAGAATCCAATCAACTATCAACCAAATCATCCCAAAAGGTTTTAATTGGCACAAACACTAATTGAACCACAAAAACACAATCATAACAGTAGCATAATTTTGTGAACACTCGAAACAGAAAAGAAAAAAGGAAAAAATAAGATAACTATTGGGTTGCCTCCCAACAAACGTCATTGTTTTACGCCCCTAGCCAGGCATAAGGCAATGTTTGAAGTGTTGTCATCCTTACAGAACCATGCTTCCTGGGAGGCTTAG